GCAGGAGAAGTTTAAGGAAAAGTAAGGACTTGGAAAGAGGTTACATTAGAAATAAGAGTAATATTTATACTTGATAAATATTTATACACAAAATGTTGGCATGGTATTGAAATATATAAAAATACTAAAGTACAAAAAAAAGTGTTAAAACAGCATTAAACAATTAAAATATTGGGTTTAGATGCCTGACACTATAATAGAAAAAAATTCTCTCGTGCATATAATACATAAAAATATATACTCCAAATAAATAGTCTATTAAGATAGAGTTACAGAAGTTTAGGATAAGATTATGATTGTTATAATTGTTGAAAGACAAGTATTATAAAATGTAGAAAATTCAGAGTTAAAGTTAAATTTTAAAAAATCCAAAAAATGTATTAAAATTGTTGCTCGACACCCAAACCACCAATTTTGCCCTGTAGCGATCCCAGAGATTAACCACATGCTTGAACAGATTATTTTACTTTTTGCTGGCCCAGATCAGTAACATCCCTGGTGTTACTGTACTGAACTAAGATTTGTGAATCTGTCACTGAAAGTCAGGGAGTTCCAAATATGGTCTAGCAGCTTAAAGCCTAGCAGCAGCTACACAATGCTGTCACAGCATAACAGATTAATCTAGGTTTATCATCATTTTGCATCAACAAAGCAATGGAAAGGAGACTATACCATGGGCAGGCAAAGTCCAGCCCATTGACCGGACCTGGCCGGCAATGGACTCCATTTCCCAGCAGCCTCTGCCCACATGGCTAGGGCTGGTCTCCATGGATACCCTAGCCCCAGCTAGGCTGTGATCGTGCAAGACTGGGGTTGCCATGGAGACTGCCCAGCCATGCTGGCAGGGTGCACAGCAGGGCAGGGCAAGGGGCTGCTCCAGAGCCGTGGGATCTTGCAGCGAGAACAGCTTGGTCCAGGGCTGGGGCAGAGCTGTGCTCTTCAGCCTGCGCCCTTGGGGCAGCAGCATGTAGGCAGAGGATTGCGGCTCTGCCCTGGCTTCTTGCAGCGGTGACAGCGTGATCCCAAGCCAGGGCAGAGCCGTGATCCACTGCCTGTGTGCCCCTGCCCAGAATGTGCAGGCTTTGCCCTGGCCCCGACCAAGCTGCCCATACCACAAAGTCCCAGGGGCTCTGGAGCACCCTGCCTTGCCCTGCCAGTGCAACTGGGGCCCGTCTCCATGGCCACCCCAGCCTTGCTATCACAGTGCAACTGCAACTGGGGTCTCCATGGAGACGGGCCCCAGCCATGCGGGCAGGGGCTGCTGGGAAATGGAGTCCAGCTGCCAGCCGGATCTGCCATTTTGCCCACCCCTGGACTATTCCCTCTGTCCTCCACACCCACGCTAACCCCATCACCATTTTCCTTTCTGTACTCTATTTCCCTAAGTACAGAACCTAAATGCCCTCTCTTGAGATCTAAGGTAATGGGTTTCATTTTTTTTTAAAGAAACATTTAGAATTAAAGGGCTATTTTAAGAATTAAAACTTAAGTTAAAATTATAATGCATGAACTCAAGACAAGAAAGAAAATGCTATGATGTGATAAATGTTAAACTTTTAGCAACATATTCACATGTTCTCTTTGGCCCATGCCATTCTGAAGCAACTGAAAGCAGCCAGTTAATCTGAATGAACAGCTATTTTGTATCACCAGAATATCCAGAGTACATGCCCCACTTTTCTCCTGATCTTCCACCTCCCATTTATTCTCCTATATGTATATGCTCTGGTGACATGGAGGGAGTAAAGTATGTATGGTAAAAAGTACTGCATTTGGAGAAATATTGAAGACTGATACCCATTTTCCCAGCATTTTTCATACTTGAAAGTTTATCCATAAACCTCTGCAGACGGAAAAGAAAATGACAAAGAACTATCCTTTTACAAAATGGTCACCACCTCCATTTTTCCCATGGGGAAAAAGCAATAATTATATTCACCGGTAAATTGGTAAGGGTTTAAAGGAATGGATGCATCAGCTATTTTTATTATGGGCATCTTGTGGTTTCAGAATCATTGTTAAAAAATTTGGAGACAGTGGCCACTTTAACAGAAGTAAATTCTTTGCTAATTCCCTGAAAACAATATTTACCTGCCTCTAATAAACAAAAATGTTTTAGTAATGAAGAAAAATAGCAAGAAATAATTATTATCCCTAAATAAAACAAACCCTTCCAATGCAACCCATTGACAAGATTTTAGGGTATTTTTATTATATTAAGGTATAAGAAAGGTTTCCCAAGAACCAAATGTGTGGGGCCTAGTGTTAGGCAGGGTTAGAATGCACAAGATAGTAACAGAACAGTAACAGTAGTTCACTAAGTTATTTCTATAATATCATGTATTGGTAGTAATTATTTTCCAGTAAAGGTCTATTTAATCCTATTTTTGTTTTCCCTTCTCACTATTCCAGTGTATTGGAAGCTTAATTTTTTTTTTAATTAATTGCTTTAATTCTCATATATTGGACTAATAATGGGCTATACTGAAGTTTGTAAGTAGCCTGACTCGTCACTTCATTCATAAAAATATGTTCCAATTAGTAAATGATCGGCAACAGAGAAATCACATTTCTAACCAAGCTCACAAACATCCATCTTGACAACTGAATACAAATGAACTGGAGGAATTCACCCTAAAAGCAGGTAACATCCATGCTGCCATATATGTCATATAGCCAGCACAAGACACAGAAAGGTGTTTCTAATTGTGAACAATAAAGATTACTCTTGCATAATATTGTCAAGATACAGACAGGTTCAATTATAAAACAGAATATGAAAAAGAAATTTCTCATTTTTTTCCTCAATTTAATTTTAAATATATATTTTTTTTTATTTTAATTTTTTTAAATTATTTTTTTCCAATATAGAAATGGAAACTAAGAAAAGTTGAAGTCACCTAGATGATATCACCCCATAAAACTTCAATTTCTGTGACTATTCTGCTTACCATGGGAGCTAAGACTGATGCTGCTGCCCCTGCAGCAGCAAACAATGGTGCCTGTAGATCACTGGGCTTGGGGGCTTCCCCCTCACCCCTGTGGCAGGGGGGGGAAGGGAGAGTGGGGAACAGGGCTCTTACAGCACTACAAATGCACATCAGTTGATGGCTTGATCTGCTACGTTTATTTGAGCCTATCATGGACAGATCCAGCATTTACTAAAAGGGAGGGTGTGGCATGTCACCCCTCAGACATAGGGTATGACAGCAAGGTGTTGCTGGAACCTCCAGGTCAGTAGGGGACACCAGGGAGCCAGTGCATGAAAGTGGAGGGAAGGGAAGAGACGGGGAAGAGAGGACCTCTCCCTCTGCCAACATTGCTGTTGCTGTCCCCAGCTGTCTGGGGGGGCAGGGCAAAAGAGGAGACCAAGCTGCTCCTGCCTTGTTTCAGCTGGGGGTTCTGGGGAGCAACCATATGGAGGGTTAGGCTTGGCTGGGGACAGTGGTGGTGACATGCAAATTCCTCCTACCAGTGCCTGCTGGCAGTGATGCCTGACCTGTATGGCCCATGGGCTGGATTAGCAGTGCCAGGTCTGTCTGTGGGCTGGATCCTATCTGAGGGCCCAATGCAGCTGTGCAGGATACGGCCTAATGTATAGGAATGGCCTGCCCAGGGCCCTTTCCTGTGTGCTAACTGCCACTGTTTCCCCACTGCCGAATTTCTACCCCTGTGAGAAGACCTGCAGGCCAGATGACATGGCTGTAGGCTGATCTGACCCATGGGCCAGGGTTTAAACACCCCTTACATGTGCCAGACAAAAAGTACTTAAGAATATCAAGGATGCCCAGGTAAGCAAGCTCTCAAAAAAAGTGACAAATGTTAAGATTTAAGCTGCATGAAGAAACTTAACTCTTCTGCTATGGCACTGTTATCAATTCAGGGATCCTGGTTGTCTATAGAATTTTAAACTAACTAATGATATAGCCTATGCATATTCCATTCAGTAAAAACCTTGCAAAACTCATTTTATAGCTGAGTTTGCTCTTGACATGGAACCTCAGTTCTCCAGCTGTTGTCTTAGTGGATTAGTTTTGATACTTCAATGGTCCTAAAAGGGCATAGACTCCTTTTAGAAAGGGGAACTTCTATTTTAACTGTTACTGTTTTATTCCTAACTGTTTGGTTCAAATTATTTTTGTTATATTTGGTCTTCCCTTAACATATCCAATGCATTGAAAATTATGTAAAGATGAAAGTGTTGAGGTGTTGCTGTGATGGTCCAGGAAATGAGAGGCAAAAATTCTTGGTAGTGATATCTATTAAATCAGAATAACTGTATAGTTGGGATGACATGAGCAAGCTTTTGGGTATCATAGTACCGTTCCTCAGGCTCATTTATGCTGTTTACAGTGTAAAACCAGTATTTTCAATTTACAGAAAGATCACATGGATAAGGATTGCAGAAGTCGATACATTTTTGCCTTAAATTAATTACAGTTATTTAACATGTATATGACATGACAGCTATATGAACTATGGAAAGGGTATATACAGAAAACATATAGTTAAGTTGTGGCAGGCAGTACTTTGAAAATTCACAATGACAACAGGAGATGGAAAAGCGGGAGCAGCAGAAACAGTGTGTTGCAGACCAAACCAAGAATCCAAAGCCACCCACCCCATAGAGAAACGTGCCTGAGTGCAACAGAACCTGTCGATCCCGGATTGGCCTTTATCACACATCTTTGGACCTATAGATAAGGCAATCATGGAAGACAATTATCCTCAACTGTGAGGGATTGCCAGTGATGATGATGAGTTAAATTGCATAATACTAGTATTGTATGTTACTACGTCCAGTCTCAACACTGCTTGACTAAATAACATGTTTTGTTAGGTTAGATTACCAATGTCTGGTTTTTGAAACTGCATGAAATTGAAAAATGAAGTAGAAACAGTAATTTTTCATGGTTTCTAATTTGCAGTTTAAAATCAACATTTAAAGAACTAAATATACTTAGTTTTTAGTTAAAGCAGTCCTATGCAAGCTGACTACAACCTGATTAAATCTTACCATTGTCTACAGAAATTCCAAGCACACTTGATATTTTTCTCACACTGAAAACAGAAAAAGTCACTTCATTATTGGGCACTTTTTCACTTCCACATAAACTAAATCATGGACTTTACATTTCCTATAAAAAACATTACAATTTATATTTTTCTTTGAGTGATATCAAAACATGGAGACATGATCAACAAAGTGCTAATTACAATACTTCTATTATGTTTTTGTAATAGGCCAAAAATGAAAGAAAAAAGACATTTTAATAAAATAATTGCATAAAAGATATGGTTCAATAATGAGATACAAATCCTCTCAGGAAGAACAGCACAAAGCTTAAATGCAAGCAATTTAAAAGCCAATACAGTAAAAAAATGAAAAACTTTAATATATGTTGTAGTTAATCATGTTCCACATCCTGTCATCACCCACTACCACAAAGCAGGAACAAACTGTTGAATTAGTTCCATCTAACTAATTGACTAGAACAATAAAGTCCATGAAATGCTCTGGTGTGGCACTGGCTTTTGCCTCTGGTGTGTGGTACTGGATGTGGATGGCAACTGACTGTTATGATGTCATGGAACTTACTGTGGTTAAAAGTGAGAGAGTTATCCAGGCTGCTCAGCTGCTGCAATCTGGCATGCATCATTCCTGTTCTGTTACGGGAAACAGGCAATGTCTGAGATTTTCGATCATGAACTATGGATCCCAACCCCTCCTGGTTCCTGCAAGGTGAGTGAAATGGGATAGAAGCAAAAGTTAGACATGTCAAACTGCAGCAAGATAGGGAGAGTTAGTTAAGCCATTACAGCACCAAAAGTACTAAAAAGCTGAACTATAATGCAGCCTATTTATTGTTTTATGTTGGCTAAAACCAAAATAGGCGTCTTAAAAAGCAGTACGGCATTTTTTTTATTAAAATACTTATCACATGAAAGCAAAAGCACGCAAACTGCTGCTCCTGAAATATTTAATTTACTTCAAAGCTTTCAGCAATGTTAGGCTTTGATTGTAGCTCATTTAATGATGATGTTCTGGAAACAGAACAAATGAAAAAAGCACTAATTTATTTTGATTATAATAGGGAAAGATATTAGAAAGATGATGAACAGTGAAACTAGAAAGCACACATGCAGTAAGAGCAGGAATTAACAGAGGCACTAACACCTGTATCTTACCCAGGCAGGAAGGGAGAAGAGCCATATACTTTGTTAAACTTGTCAGCAATCAAGTGAAGAAAACAGAAAAGTGATCTGTGTTAGCAATCAATACAGGCTAACTTCCTATTGTGTACCACCACCAGAGCTGATGAAAAATGAAAACCAGTGCTGGAATTACATACATCCCTTAATGGAGAGTTTCTATTTTGTGTTATTTTGTGTACTTTATCAGTCCATGCATTTATGATGATACAACATGCTTTGATGTGATATCCACATGGCAGATTTAAATTTGTTTGTAAAACTCAATAAACCCACAGAACACCAGAGACTTGTATAGTTCTACTAGTTAAATATAACATGCAACAGAAAGAAATTCAACAAAAATGTGGAACAGTCTTCTTTATGAAATATTGTAACTAATTTTATCACAAATCAGTTTTATGCATTTTAGTATTTCTATAAATTATACATCTTAATGTTATGGTCAATTATCGCTGAAGCTTCTGAAATACATTAAAACACAAAGCATCATGAGGTCACAATCTAAACTGAGAAGCTACAGATCCATCAGATCCATTTTGTTACTTTTTTTTCTTTTTTTTTTTTTTTTTTTTTTTTGCAGGGCGAGGGAGCAGGAGAAGGAGAATGGGGAAACAGACAACTTTTTGTAAGCCCCCCAAAATAGATTAATAATTAATATTTAAATTAGGATGAAAGTTTACTATACTGTTCTCTTTGTTGTAAGAAAAAATATTACATTCTTCTGAAAAAAATCATTTAAAATCATTAGGATTTAAGTCTTCGTTAACCACTCTACTAGTGGGGCCATTACCCACTGGTATAGGAAATAAAAATGTTAATGCAATGACCCTATTGAAATTTTGATCTTGAAACAATGGGAATTTTCACTCAAGTTTAAATTATATTACAATGTTCTTATAATGTGTGTTGGGAACAATACGAAAGGCACGTTTACTTAATTAGAAAAAAATAGTAACTCCATATAAACAGGTTTAGAATCAGGTTTATGGAAATATACTGTAGATTATGGGCCAAATTCAAACCTCAGATAGATGCATGCAACTCCTATTGATTTTCCACAGATTAAGTGTGCTTAAAGGGAGCAGCCTACATGCATCTGATTAACAAACCTACCATAATTTTTTGAAAAATATAAACCTAGAAAGTTTGTTTTTTTTAAAGCTTGTTAAATGGCAACTGAAACTCAGTCTTTAAAATGCACAATACTAAAATTCAATTTGGTAAAAGTACTATGTAGTAGTGCCTACAAGAAGGTTCAACTAATACAATGTCAAGGCTTAAATTATTATTCAAAATAGATTAAGTCACCAGCACACTTGCTATACTGGGACACTTAAGAAAAATCTATCTACATTAAAATACAGCTTCTCAAAAATAAAAATAATCTAAAGATATAAATATATATACACCAAAATGCTTACATTTCTAGTATTCTTAAACAGCAACGTTATTTTCCAAATAGCACCCAGAATAAGACTGTCAATTGTATAGCTAGTTACTTACCATTGAATTGCTAGGCATCACTGCACAATTCTTCCCAATTCTGCACAATTGTTATACAATGCATTTTTTACAAAACATAAGTCTGTAAACTATACATACTAGCTCTTTTTAGAGGATAAGACCAATAACTCTAAATTATACACAGTACCTGGCTATATATCGTTTCCCCATGTACTGGAACTGATGCAAGCACACTCTGCAAAGACCAAATAAGGAATCACTGCAGCAACATTTAAAAGGACTTTTTACACAAGCACATAGGAATTATTTAGCCATTACTGGTCTATTTTCTAAACCCTTCCCCCACAGCTCTTTCTGGATGAACCTTCATTTTAATGGTTTAGCCCTATCGCTCAGCTAAGTACAAGTGGAAGCGGGGATGTGGCTCCTTCTGAAATTAGTCAGTGCTGGTTCCTGATCTGGCCAAACTGGCACAACAGGCTCTTTGTACAAAGGTAAATATGCCTCAGTAGCATGTCTATTTCTTGTCACCACAAATCAAAGTAGGGAGATCCAGGTCTCACTTTTTGGCTAGGGACTAAAGTTACACATACACAGATTTAAGTAATCAGAAACTGGTTTAAACCTGTAGCAGAACATAAGTTCAGGGCACATAAACCAATTTCAAAATGGCTGAAACTGGTTTAAGATAAAACTGGTTGAATGTATTATCAAGCTTAACTGATTTGGGTCAAACCAGTTTATGAAACTTCTGTCCCAAGACCCTTTCCCTTCCTGGTTCAAGTTGTCACAGTCTGTCAGCATCCCAGCATGCTTTCCAGCTGTCTGCTCCATGAGAGAAGGGTGTGAGGAGGCAGGGACTACCCCACCCCTGCCAGGCAAACCCTGGCCGGGGTCTGGGGCCAAGGAGGGGGAGTTCAACGCCCCTTCCCCAGCTTAAACTTACAGCTGGTTGCAACTGTGGACTACAAATCCCAAAGGCACCTGGAAGCAGCCCTGCCTGTGCCTGGAAGCAGGAAGAAGTGATGAGCAACCCTGGTGTGATTCTGGACTGCAAGTCCCAGAGACCTTGGGGGCAGCAGAAAGAGCAAGCGAACGAACAGCCTGTGCTGCCAGGGAGCCGTGCTCTAGTGTCCCCCGGCTTTTGGCCTGAGCCACTGCAGGCATATGGCTGCATTTCCCGAATCAAAAGTTAATGTGTGTCTAGTTGTTTTTCAGTTTAATCTGAATCGATTAGACAGAATTGTTTCAGCCTCAGGTTTTTTTACTTCTGTACTTAGCCTTTGAGAAGCAGTAAGAAAAACAAAGGGACAAGAAAATTAAGTACACGCTATTCTTAAATAATTATTGAATGCTTCTCCAATATCAGTGCCTGGCTTATCATGAACAGGGCTCCACTTTTTTCAGTGCAAAACCTGGTCCCTTGACTAACAGTGTCACAGTCCAAGAAAAGGACATGCAACGAAAACACAAAATGAAAGATACAACCAGATCATTCAGATACCTAGCGTCTATCACCAATCCCATTCTCTGCAACATATTCATGATTATTTTTCTCATTTCTGCAAGACTTGTATTTACTATAATATTAATAAGAGGTGTTGCAGCAGAAATTTTTCCTTAAACTGAGTATCTTCTCAAGTTTTATTAGAGGCAGTGATAACCACACATCTTAAAATACTTGAAAATCTGGTTTAAGATGCACATTATATGTCCATAGGTTTTTAAAAAAAAATACTACTACTTGTTTTGGATCCAATAAAGAAATATTGTGAAGAAAAGATTTGCTTTACATATGCTTTGCTTTCGTCCGAAACAGAATTACTGAAATATAAACATGATTTGAAAATTAATTTTTCAAAATCAGAAGCCTTTCAGTGTAAAAAAAATGGCTTAAGTGAAGACTTGTATTGACAGTCCTTTTATAGTTTTCATTTTCACTAATCTACAAAACACTTAAAAAAAAAAAAAAAAAAGCTTCCCCCAAACTATTCTAACTTAATCTTTTCTAAAGAGTAAGTCTACACTGAAAGCTATTTTTCAGGGCTACTGAGTACTGTAGCAGACGAGTGATACTTCTATCAAATCTGGAAACAAAACTATGGAGAGAAACCAGTCAGACTCCTAGTAGCAGGGATGGTTGCAGAACTAGCTGTTCAGACAACCCTTTAAAGTTCTGACAGAAATTTTTCTACCCTATATTAAGAGCTCTAACTCCCACTCAAACTCTTGTTTACTGACTTTACTGGTCCTGTCCCACTCATGTCTGTATTGCTGACTTCTGGCAAGCCTTGCCTTTCTACTAAGGCAAACCCCACCTCCTTGTTCACTAGCCTGCAGAGACTTCCTACCAGGCCCATTTATTTATACAGGTTTATGTCTGAGGGGATCGACTTTGATGTCACTCTTTTTGCAGAATGAAAGAAGTGTTTTTAGACTTCAAAATATGTTTAAATTATGTATGAAGACTTATTCAGAAAAAAAACTTTTATGAAAGAGATTTATATTAAATGTCTAGCTGCTGTTGTTCCAGTTTGGTCTAATGAATAACAACCTGGCTTGTATCATGGTAGACCGGGGGTTGTCGACCAGGGGTATGCGTATCCCTGCGGGTACTTGGGAAGGTCCCAGGGGGTATGCGGCTGCAGCAAGGAGAAGTAGGGGCACTTCCATTTTCACCAGTGGCATTTCTGGTTTTGCCGCCGGTGCTCCCAAGGTTTGCTGTCGGTGGTTCCGGTCCCCTACCCCCCCACCCCCACTCATCAACTGGCCACCGAGAAGGACCCCCCCCCGCCACACACACACACACTCATTGACCAGCCAGGGGACTCCCTGCTTCTCAACCGGCCACTGAGGGTACCAACCAAAAAAGGTTGAAAACCCCTGTGGTAGACCATTAAGGCTAAGTACAGAAAGTCAAAGAGCCCAAGGCTGAATCGATTCAGTCTTTGCAGGTTAGTCTAAACTGCAGAGATTAAACTGAGCATCCTTTGAATAGTTGCTGCTTCTGTCTCTCTCTCTTCCCAACAGCGAAATCAGGCTTGAAGAATAAACAAAAGTAAAGGTAGCCATTCCTATTTCTTTGTTGAGGAAAGAGGCTAACTTTAGCTTCTTTTTTTTTTTCCTAAAAAAAGTGGAAGGTGGAGAGTAACAAAGGAGGTAAGCCAGCCAATTTCCCTTCCAGAGAAAGTCAGTAACAATAATCATTTATGAATTATAACTGCATTTTACTTTCAGTGATTTTGACTATAGGATTGATCTGAATGTAAATGGAGTTCTAAAAGAAATGCGATTTTAAAGGGAAGAGAACAGTACTTTAAGTGCCTGAACCTTAATTCCCACAGATATCATTCTAATATTATAAAAGCCTTAATCTGTCTGTCTTTCTTTAATGCTTTATTCATGCTCTGACTGGCTGGCAAACAGCCAATCAGAGTGCGAACAAGCGTTAGAACAGGAGCTGGCGGCGGCAAAGTGCCGCCATGATGGTGGGGACACGGGACGGAGGGTCTACTCCGCCCTGCTCCCTGGAGGCGGGGGCAATGGAGTGGACAGAACAGGGGGGCTGAGCTCACCCCCTTCACCCTGCTCCCTGCAGGTGGCAACGATGGAGTGGTCACCACCTGCAGGGCCCAAGGCAGGACGATGTAGCAGCGGTGTGGGGAATAGCGGGCATGCTGCGGTGGTGGTGGTGTGGGGAGGGAAGGAGTGGGCCCGGGTCCAGGACCGATGCAGGGGGAAGGAGGACCAAGCCTGAGCTGAGGGAGAAGCCGGTTTACTGCAGCGGCTGGGGGAGGAGAGGAGGAAGCCCAGTCCCACTCCTCGCCCACCCCCCCACTCCCCTGCATCAGCTCTGAGCCCACTCCTCCCATTCCCTCACCGCTGCTGGGTCGGACTGGGTCCGCTGCTTCCCCCACCACGGCAGCCCAGCTTCTCCCCACCCTTGGGCCTGGTCCTTCCCCGCATCAGGCCCAGGTCCACTCCTCCTCTCCCCCTGCCACTGTGGCGGGGGGGGGGGGCAGGCCCAAACCCCAAGCAGCAGGAGGGAAAGGAGGGGGGGGCCCAGAGGGGGGGGGAGCAGGCCCAAACCCCAAGCAGCAGGAGGTAAAGGAGGAGTGGGCCGAGACGGGGCGCATAGGGCTCTGTCCCCACATGCTCTTTCCTCCCGCCCCCCATCATTCCTGACGGGTAATTGGCTAGTACCTCTATACTGACTCTATAAAATTAGTGTGGAACAAGTGGGATACTGCAAAGTGACACATGAAATTAACTTCTGAATTCAAACTGATGGTGCCATGCTTTGGATAACAAAATGTGAAATACCTACACTGAAAAGATCAACAAGCAATGAAGACATAAGTTTTAGGAAAAACTAAGAAAACTCACTCTGTGATTGTGAAAAAATCCATAAGTTCAGATGTTGCAGCCCTGTTCCAATATGTAAACAAAACATCTAGGAAAATGAAGACGTTAAAAAAATAAAAATAAAAACAAGTATTTAACACACAGTAATACTGATCAGTTGATATGAGTTCTCAAAATTTTAGGTGATGAAGATTCAGATCATCAGCAAATGGTGACAACCTGATGATTTTTTTTTATATTGTTTAATATTTTCATAGATTCATACTTCATTTCCTTGAAGTTCCTTTGAAAATTGCAAAAATATTCTCCTGAATATTCTTGTGATGTTATTGAATGTATTATGGCATGAAATGGCAGAGGAATATTATATACTTATCAAGTTTAGAGACACTGGCTTGTTAAAGGACCCCTTTGAATTGCTGCCACTTTTGAATTGCTTCCGCTTTTTTTTCGTGTGCTGTGTGTCGGCTCACCGCTCATACAGCTGTGTGGTAGGGCAAGGGATAGGGAGCCTCAGGCCAGGGGGCAGCGCGAGACTATCCTGCTCTTGTGTGGCGCTGGCCAGGCACCAGACTTAATTAGTTTGAAAACCAAGTGCAGTCACACCACTGCAGCGCAAGGAAGGGCAAAAAACACGGCATGTACAAATGCCTTTGATGTTTGAACAATTATGCATACATATGTTTCATATGAAGTCCTCAAATACAAGGCATTCTGAACTGTGCATTCTGGAATATCATATACTTCAAAATGTACATAAAATATTGAAAAAGATTTTTTTGATTTTGTTTTGTTCCTCATAATGTATATAAAAAGTCATAACGATGTAGTGTGTAGCAAACTAAATAGCATCAATTGTGTGCATGTGTGTAAAACAGACAAGTACACACAAGTGCCAGTGCACTTACACATTTCTATTTTCATTCCTAAAAGCTGCCCAATACTGACTGAGACTATTCAGTCCATTAATTTATTATTTGGAAGAGTAATTATCTAATATGCATTGAAAACAATTACACATTTAATTCAATCTAGTACAGAAAATTTAACTTGCACATTACAGGTCTTGGTATTCTTGGCTTGAGATAAAATTTTTGAAATGTACAGTCAAAGATGATGATAAACTGAGTTGTTGTCTAGGAAATGTTGTGCTTCTCTGTTTAATCCCTTACACCTTTAAATATGGTAAATTATGAACTAGACTTTAGTCAATTGTTATTCATATGCTAATTGTATGAGTCAGTATTTTAATTATATGAATTAATGTGCAAATTCAGGTAATCTTTGAAAGTCATTATGTTACTCAAATTTATGGTAATGTCATATGAATAACCTTATTATATTTCATACTATAAGGCTATTTAAGGCTTGTGTCTTAAGTATGTGTGTGTCCCCCAGTCAAATATATGAGTATATCATAATCTTTAATAGATTTTTTGTCACAATCATTGTACTTGTTTTATTATTTTAGATGATTCAATTTGCAGTAGCCCCATGAGGTAAGCAAGCACTATAACCCTTGTTTTGCAGACCAGAAATGAGGCAATAAGTGATTGGTCCAAGGTCAACAAGATGCCTGGTAGAGGACAGACTTCAACTCAGAGCTCATGTAGTCATATTTAATGTTTTAAACTTAACATATTTGAGCAATGAAATCAAACCTAAGTGGCTATGTAAAATGTAGTCTTACATAAAACTAGTAGTATATAAGAGGTTTTACATAACATCACAACCATTATCAACAACATTCTTTAAGCTATTTTTAAGTTATATTTATAAATCACTCAAATTAACAAAATGAAGCAGAATTTACCTACCATCTGACATGCTTCTTAAAATGTGAAGGAAACACATGAGCAGACTTTTGATCTCTGCTTGATCAAGTTTGTCACAGCGAATTAAAGAACTTCCTAAAGTGCCACTCTGTTGGTTCTAAGAATAAATAGGAGTAAATATGGGTTAAATTCTCTGCTAAACTGATAAAAGCTAATAATTTGGGTGATCTTAACTCCTGTGGAAAAATAAAGTCATCTCAGAGTGGACAAAAGATCAAAATGCAAATACAGCAATGGGTTACTAAAGCATACAACTATGCACAAAATGTATCAAACTGAAACTTTTCTGAATGCATTTTTCCCTTGATACGTAAAAGATTACTTGCCAGTAACTGTTATTCAAAATAATTACATAGAGGAAGCCACACTTATAGGAACTTTAGTGCCAAGTTAAAATTCTCTAAAAGAACACAAGTAGTGCCATATTATGTCAGATCAATGGTACATCTAGACCAGTATTCTATCTCTGGCAGTGGCAGGAAATGATGATCAAAAGGGAGAGCATATGAACAGGGTTTATCTAGAGTAGTCTATCCCCTGTCATGCCCCTCTGGCATCCACCATCACTGGTTTAGAGACGCATTCCTAGTTTGTTTAACAACTATTAATGGATCTAGCATCAATGAATTTGTATAGTCCTTTTTTGGAAAACAATAACAAAACGGGGAACCGAGACTGTTGACAGATAAATCCATGCTCACACCTGTGGATTCTATTTTTCAACAGAGGCGATATGGAGCTCTGACTCCACAGAATTTTCTTTCTTTTTAAAGTCATAAATGAGAACTCCAAAGAACAGGTCATGTTTGTGGGAAGCTTGCTTCAATACAATCATTCTTGGAGAACCTATTCCTATATTTATAGTTTCCCATAAATATAGGAGCTAACTAACAGTGATAAATGTTGACTGAATTCTATCCAAAAACTAGAACAAGTCTGCATATCTGTGAGAATAGCATTTCTTAGACCAAGTGGAAAAATATAGTAAAACCCAAAGCATAACACACACACACATTTGGTTTTACCTACTGTGAGTAGAGATGGTCTTTCTTCATTTGTGTGCCACTAGAAAAATATAGAGACTTGCAAGTAAGTTTGCAAGAATACCTCCTAAAAGATTGAAGTAGGGAGTAGCTTTATCAGTTAGAATTCTTGAACACCACACACATTTATATTATACCACTGCTCCACAATCTGCCTGGATTCTCTGTAGGTTTTTGGTAAAGTTTAAGGGATTATATCTGACCTGGATTTGGGACCAACCTGAGGGGCTTCCGTGGTGTGTTTCTGCACCTGTGACACCTGCACCTGCCAGAGTTAATCTGTAAAAGTGCTCAGTCTCCTTGATATAGACAAGAGAAAGCTACTGACAGGGCATTCTTATTATAACAATAAACATAGCTGTGGCATTTACCACATCCTTTTACATGAGATACCAAAGTCAATGATTTCCAGGGTCTGGCAATACTCATCTTGCTTACCTGTTGTCTGAATGCTGGGAAGGATAGCATGGATGGGAAATTTTTAAGGAATCATATTTTAATTTTCCCATCTTATTGGTCATGTATTAAATAGTGTTGTTGTGCTTAGAATGCAGAGTAGTGATTTACTGGTAACTAGAATTTTTTGAAATATACTGTCCACATATGCACTCTCACCGTGAGTATACTCATGCCCTGAGACTTTTTGCCTTAGCAATAACCAGACCACCACAGCTCTGTAATGCCTCATGATCCCATACTGAAGTGAATACAGGCAGCGCTAACTTCCCACCCCTCAGTTTCCTTTCGAGTGCAAAGATCGTATGCATGTAACTGAGGAAGAGGGAAAGGCGGGTAGAGTTTGAATGTGTATGTGGACAACACTTTTTGAAGAATGCTGGTTACTGGCAAGTAACTTTTTTCTCCTTTGGGTAACTGTTTACTTACACACTCCTTCCCACTGTGAATTAGTATAGTATACCTGGAGGTGGGGCTCAGTGAACAGTGACTGTAAGACTGCTTCACCAAATGTAGCATCTGCCCTGGAGACCTGTACAGTCATGTAGCTCTTGGTAAAAGCACTACTCCATGTAACTGTTCTGCAGATATCATTTATGGAGACTGGCTGTGTCTACGCGACACGTTGACTACACAGGTATTATTGTACAGTCATTTAGTACTTACTTATACAAGTACTAAAATGACTGCGCAGTAACCCAAGTTACTGCGCAATAGTACCGAAGAATGCTTTCTTTGAGATGCTACTGCACAATAACCTAATACTACTGTGTAGTAGTGTCACATTATGGTTTTTGCCATGCAATGCTACTGCACAGTAATATCAGGCTACTGTGCAGTCAGTGTCTCATGTAGACATGGACACTGAGTAGTCACCAGACCTAAGTTATAGTAAAATGGACCCAAATCACAGAGGGGGGTCCACACTGGAGATCTCGTATTACAGTTTGTAACAGCCTGCTAATCCACACGGACAGTCTCTGGATTGATGCAACTAATGTGAAGGACAATTCCAGAAAACCTTGATCTGCATGACCGCATTGCCATAGAGAGACCAACTCCCTTTGTGAAAAAAATAAAAGTGAAAAATGAAATAAAAGGCTTGCTACTCTTCATGAAGAGGGGAAGTAAACACTAGGTAATTCAATTTCCAAAAAGCAGCGACTCATATTGGAGCAAAAACATATAAAGGAACAATTAAAAGAAAAGGCAAAGGCAAACCTGGACCAAAGCTCCAACCAAAGGCAAAGACCTTTCCTCCTTCATAATAAAAATGGATGAAGGAAAAACAGAAACTTAATATTTAAGAAACAGGTAAGAAGAAGAGGAAATAAAAAAGCAGTAGGAGCCAGAAAAGACTGAGTTGAAATATAAGCCACAAGAGCTTTCAAACAGGAAATTCTCCATCTTCTACCAGGCAGCTGAGAGAAACTGAGGAGCAGGAAGAGGCTAGCACACAAGTGAAAAGAGGCATGAAGGACATGGATATGATGCACTCAACAGTTACTGCTAAAACAAAAATCTCCTGTTGAAGGCTCTACTCACAGTGTGAATGGGTATGCAAAGTGTTGTTGGTTTGGGACTGAACATGTAACCTGAGTCCCATATTTGTCTTTCAACAGTTACGAAGTAAAAATAAATGCAGAATGAGATTTAATCCTAACTAGAAGGTACTGTAAAGCAGGGGGGAAGCAACATCTACTTACATGCCGTTGGCTTCAAGATTTTCACAATCATTACTGTATACTGCATTTCTCTTGACAGTACTCCTGTCAGGTAGGGAAGTACTTTCCCCACCATTTTACAGATGAGGAACTGAGGCACAGAAAGACTAAACTTATGTGTCTGATATATTAGGGAACTAAACCTGGTTCTCAGGCTAATGCCCTAGCCATGGGGCCATCTTTCCTCTCCCCACCATCTCTGAAGCAGTTTAATGAAACTTGGATGAATCCCACAATCAGTGTTCTTTAAACAATTTCATGCTGAATAAAAAAATTACTATTGCTTTTATTAATAAAATCCTTAAAACAATTAGTAAAAAAAAAATCTGTATGTTGTATAAATGATCTTTTCAAAGTTAGGAGAGTAGAAAGACTTGGGTTTATATTTCATTGAACATTCAAATTGAATCACCAAAATTCTTAGATTCCTTTGAAAATTCCAGCTCTATGTTTATCTGCTAGCAAAACACTGCAAATTAAAACATGAAAACTATATAGTGGTCAACAGTTTTGCCAGTTAGCAACAGCACAGCCATTTGGAATGTTTTCAAAAAAAGAATTTTCTGTGCCCAAAATATTGAATAGCCCGATTTTATTTGAAAGAGTCTAAACCCACCATCCTGCTAACATTTGTATCTATACTTAAATTTAAGCAAGTAGTCCTATTAATTTTACTGAATCCATTTGTTTAAAATTAAGTATGTGCATATGCACCTTCAGGAATAGGCTTATGTGACATTCTGGATATAAACTGCTGCTAAGATGTGGCAAAACTCTAGTCAACTTGCATTTCACTCAGCAGCTTAATTATGCCAAACACACAAAATAAATCCCATATACTTCTTGTAACTGAAGGCAGAGAGCAGCATGCAAAACATTCTCTGGCAAAGCTGGGATTGTTAGAAGTGAAAAGTCCACAGTAATGCGTTTTTTCTTCGTTGAGTGGAAATTTTCTTCTTCCTCTCCACTAGCGCGCATAGCATGAGCAGAATGCCTTCTGAGCAGTCTCTCTCTCTGTTACATGAAGGCATGTCAGGGCCAGGGGAAAAAGTTAATAAGTGTGATATGTGCAACAAGGTCTAACAAAATTAAGTGCTAACAATATAAGCTTTAAAAAGACATAACAGTTACTGCAGCCAAAGCGCCTAAGTTTGTAACAGGTTTAAAATAAAAATCATTTAAAATACCTGACCCACTCTAAGGATGGGTCAATCCAAGGCAGGGGAGTCAGGGAGGGGAGGGAAGGACGGACGGAAGAGGACACACTAGTTTGTTTCTAGCATTTAGTAAGCATGGTGCACTAATTACTTAAACTAACTAGCCTTCAGAGCACAGTACTCACTGAACGGGAAAGGCACTTGTACTTTTACATAGATAGGTTTGCACTTTTGAGAATCTAATCTTTAAATATTTGTTTTCCTGAACATAAAACTTAATATTTTTAGTGCCCTTATCTAGCAAAGCATAAAAAACTACTCTCTAATAATTTCACTAACTTAAGGAAACCTGTTTATGTAATATGAAAAATATTCTGATATATGCAGTGGCAAAACAAGTCCATATGATAATTATTACAAAGAAAGTTTATATCCAGTACTACCAAGTAAATAACAAGATATTTCACATATGCTTTGTTTTAATGAAACACTCAGAGCCTGGCTAAACTCTAGTAGAATTATTAAAAAGACTCCCAGTATCTACAATGGGAATGAGACCAAACTTCTAATAAATAATGGATAGTTTTCTAGTGATAATGAACTATATATTTTAACATAAAAGAATTATACACAAACTTTTACCTTGTCAAGAGAATTACTCTTGTCACTATGCCTTTCTGGGAGACTGTTTCCTGAATCTGTACTTATAAGAGAGCCTCTTGAGTCAGCATTTCTTACACAATTGATATTTGGAGTTGAAGAGGTATACGGGGAAGCTAAATAAAATGAAAAAGATTCTTCATATAAGCTTACTCATAGAAATGTATATTCACAAAGTAAATGCAATTTTAGAAGAGTCAAATCGTACTCCTTTCAATATATTTGATAAGGCTTTAACAATTAATAATGCTATCAATTCAACATCACAAGCATTTCACCATCATGTTAGGATGGTTTTAAATAGCATCCTGAAAGATTCACAGTAAACCATTCACAGTGAAGTAATTTCTCCCATTTAACTTGTTACTGAAACAAGAGCTGTTTAACAATAACACAACAGAAGAATTTAATGCAGAACTGAGGAAACCTGTATCCAGTTGCAGGAGGGCTTGAGGCAAATAACATGTATTTTTTCCAATTGGAATGTTGATAAGACATACATTAATGCTGACTGCTTCATTCCTTTTTTTTTTTTCTTAATAAAAAGAGGAGACAGTACTACTGGTTGCTAAAGAAAGAAGTGATTTACTCATTAAAGGTAATACCATTTTTCAAGTAATAACAGCCTGGAAAGATGTATACTCTGCTTAGGAAAAATCTATTACTTGAGCCCACAACCTAAAACTGACTGGGGGGGGAGGGTGGGGCAGGGGGGTGAGAAAAACAGCTAAGACCTAAGAACAGAGCAAGCAAGAGGCAATTTAACAAAATGACTTTCCAACATTATCACCAGAAGTGTGAATTTTGGCATGCCCATCCCCAAGAAATAACATAAAAATAGCATAAAAAGAACAGGTAAGCACTAGTTACTTTGATGCCAGTAAGTCTAAAAGGTCCACATCTTATTCCATCTCTAAAATGGCTAAATTTTTCCTGCCAGTACGCCAAAAAGTATACTTCTTGCTTCAAGCATGCTATTAAGTTGCACCCAGGGAAATGCTGTTTATTCCTCCATTATCTTCATGGGCAGTTTATGTGGGCCTCTTCTTCCCCCTTCCCCGAAACCTAATTCTATTCCATCCTGCGGAAACACCATTATGTGAGGTTCTAGCTCAAGCCTGTTTGAATCAGTGCGTCTAAATGACAAACAGCATACAAGAACCCAGAGGTTCAACTCTGCTGTTGAACATGAGCCACTGGATAGAAAGTAATGCATACAAGAGGGCATCTAACTCAAGCTTAGTGAGGCACGCACTTTCCTGAAAGGAAGCTCTGAGTCTGGCTCCACTCCTAGTACTTTTTATGTATTTTATCTAATAACTAATTAATGAAAAATAGGTTCCCTCTTAAGAGACTGTCCTCACTAGGACAGAGTCTGGATACATCTTACATGCTTTCATTCTGGGCTCAGTGACACTTGCATTCCTTTCCATCTAGTGTCCCAGAGCTAAGATGGACAAGAGGGAGCTTGACTACAAGACAAGCCAACAAGAAGGCATTTTCCTCGGATGGAGGAAGCTTTGTGTTCTCGCCTTAGTCCCAATGCATTTTATCCAATGGCCGACTATTTTGTATGAAGTGGAGAAACAGCAGTGGGAACAGGGATGGGATAAAAATTCTGGGCTCTCTCCCCTTTTCACTGGGTTGAAGTCAGGATGTTTCTTTTTCTCCAATGACTTGCGTTTCTTTCTATCTAGTGACCCAGCATCAACAAGGAAGATGAAGGATGCTCTCCACTTTACCTAGCCCCAAACCTGCTCATTAGCATGCTACTGGAAAGTAGATGATGCATGTCCAAATCCTCTTCAGATGGCAGAGGCATAGAACCCACATTTCTCACTTTCTGGAGTTGTGCCCCAACCAGAAGATGATTGGGCAAAATATGGGTGGGTGACTTCCTCCCCACTAAAGTGAAACAGTCAATTTTTCCTCTACTTAAGGATCAGAGATTATCATGTTTAGTGCCAAAAGCTTACAAGCAGAATAGGATCTGGGCCTAAATCTATCTGAGGCAGAACTCTCTTCTCCACAGCTACTGAAGGAGTTTTGTGGGCTACTGGTTCTCAGACCTACTGGATGGTTGATGAATTATTTGGGATGTTGCTACCTGAAAGAACAACAGCAGCAATCTAAGAGTGTATCTACACTGCAACTAAAGCAGACATACCTAGACCAGTAACCAGTTCAGAGGTTACTAGGAGGGACAGCAAAGAATTTAGTGCAGGCTAATGGCCTGGGTATTTATTCAGCTTCTTGGGTGCAACAACAATATAGCTACACCCAAGTTTAGAATTAAACATGAGGTGGTCAAAGCCAAAGATGTCTCTGAACAAACTGTCACAACCCAAAGTTGTGATTTTCTTGTTTGCGTGTGCTTTGGCATCGCTAAATTGTGTTCCCACTAAATTGCAGCTCTTTTGCACAGTGGAGTGTTCTGTTGCAATTAAGAACCCGCGTGCAGGAGTTTTTCCCGCCAGTTTTGTAGCCTTTTTTGCATGGTGCATTTCTTTTGCATTATAGTGATGCACGGTACAAGGAAGTTCCTGCCATTTGTATTAAGATTTCCGCCACATTATTGGCCAGTCTTAATATAGGCACACGTGGCAGCTAGCTATTGGCTTGCTAGCTGTACAAAAGGCTTGGGTAGTTTCTGCCCAAGTCGGAGAGAGAGAAAGCACGTGGAGTTCGGGAAAGGAGCGTGAGGATCTCTAAGCGCTGCTGATCCCTTCGAACCCAGCTTTTTCCTTAAGAGGGCAACAGAGGTTTAATTTGTCGAACCCACGGAGCTTCAACAACTCCGGGGGACCTAATTTCC